TTTGCTGCAATTATCCCTTAATTTTCTGTCAAAAATCTATTAGTCTCTTACTCTCTCAATACAGCTATGTCTGCTAAATTCATCTGACCTAAAAAATTAGCTTCAACTTTTTTACTTTTCCAGAAATTTTGTCTGTTGCCCGATGATTCTCACAAACTCTTATGAATATGATGTCAAAATATTTACTTATTGTTACTCAGTAATGATGGAGTTCGTTAGTCGTTGCTAATACTAGGCCCCCATCTGATTTTGCTAAAAAATTCATAAAAACAAAGTCAAAATCAAGTATTAATTTTAACTACACATTTCATGGAATCTTATCAATTTTTCAACCAACTGGGGCTAAAAGTAGTGTATACTTGTAGTACTCTTTTATTTTGAAAATAATGGTGAAAATCGAAATAATTGTATCAAAATATAAATATACAGAATTCACGAAGAGCTGTAAGGAGTGCAATCGGGAGATCAGATAGTACGGATCGAGTTTGGTAGTTGTTAAATTCGTTTATAGTGGATTGACCAGCAAAATGCGTGGAGTTTTTCCCAATTGAGTTTCTCTGTTATCATCTAGTGTTGATTTACTATTTTCATTAGTTACTGTTTATTGTTTACAAACTGCGGTATTTCAATTTAGGGTTAAAATGACTTGCATTTTTAATCATCTAGATAAGAATTAAAAAGTGACTTGTTGCTGTTTAATTCATAATATATTTTTAATTCCACATAAAATACATATTCGTCCCATCTAGATATTGTTAGGGTCAAACTTTCACTAAATGTACACATTGGTTGAGCAAGTTGAAACCTTTGACTTGAAAATCCTATCAATAGGGCTATATAACCTATTATAGGAACATTTGTAACATAGTACCAAATATAAAAAGTATGGTTTAGAAGATGATAAGAAATTTACTCTCTTGATGGGTACATTTAGCAAAACATATATTGAGAAATAACTTGTCTAATATAATGGTCCTAATAAAATATATGACACACATCTTTAAGATAAAATACTCTCTCTTAAAAATAAGTATCTTGATAGGGCAATCAAAATTTGATTAGAATGGTCACAAAACTTATATACTTCAAATTTCCAAACTAATTAAAAAGCATCGTAGAAGAATTTTTATTGCGAATAAATGTCAATCACAAATTTCCCGATCCATTAATTATGAGCAGCACTTTTAAATTGTGAAATAATACATAATTAGGTCACAATAATTACATTTTCTACATCAACGTCATCATCAACAACATTCAAAGAATCCGAGGCATTTTTAAACGAGTAGTGCTATTTATCATTTATCACCATCAGTGATGTAGCCGTCTACATGGAATAATGTGATTAAATAGTTCAATTTATATGAGAGAGAGGGGAAGGAGAGAGAGAGAGAAATATGAGGAACAATGGATTGCCACATCACAGAGCATTACTCTCTTTAGTCTCCACTTTTCTCCGCTTCGAAATGCTTTGTCAGCTCCTCACTGTTTGCCCCTTTTTGTGACAACAGTAATGCTTCATTTCTCTCCTTGACCAGTTGAAAATGATTGCCTTGCACCTAATTTTTTTAGATTTTTCAATTGGAGCAGAAATTGAATTTAAATTTATCACGATGTAAATGGAGATGGAAAAGTGATATTGGAAATACCAATTTACACTCAATTTTACATCACCATTGGAGATGCTCTAATATACTTCAAAACACAAGATTTTCCTTACTCTTAACTTCTCTCTACACAAAGCTGATATGCTCAATACATTAATGCTCACTTTTTACTTTTCTCGATTTCTCTAACTTCAATCTTGGCTGCTTCAATCCCTATGTCTGCTTGTGAACCTCTTCCGTTCAAACTTGCAGCTTATCAATTATAATCAATTATACAGGAGAGAGACTCTTAATAAATTATAGCAATTTCTTCTTTTGACTTTATATGTAGTGTTATTTAAAATACCAAAATATTCGTTTAATTTTGTGGGGCTAATTGAGTCTGAAAGTCAAACAAATTCATCTCAGAGCCAAACTACTGAATTCATGTAGGGTTTGAAAATAAGGCCTGTATTTATGTTGGAAGGGTGCATGGTAATTATGAAGCAAAACTATATGTATATATAATGAACTTACAAGTTCTATTGCAAACATAGACAGCTTAATTATATATGATCGATCAGCAAAAGAAAAGCAATTTTTCTTTTGTGTGTTCCCTTAAAGAAATGGCATATATAGAGGGCAAAAGAGAAGTGATTCATAGCGTTAAGGTTGGAATTGCTTTGGTTTTGGTTTCACTTTTGTATCTTCTTGATCAACCATTCGAACGTGTGGGAGAAAATGCTATGTGGGCTATCATGACCGTTGTCGTCGTCTTCGAATTCTTTGCAGGTATTGTATAACTACTCAAAATGTCGAACAAAAGATTATCTGAACCTGACATTCCAAACATACCATAAGGGTGTGTCTGATATTTAAAATGAAATAGGGTATATTTTTCTTTTTATAAACGGATAGCACTAATATTTGAACTCAATTTTCAATTTTGATATTTGAACCTCCTCGTAAAAAAAAATTAAGCTACCAGAGGTGAGGCATATCTATTTATTTGATTTTACTTTCAACAAATCAGACAATTTTAAAGAGTTATAAAAAAATATATAAAAATTATCCATTTAATTTTCAATTATTTGTATTACTGTGTAGCAAATTGATTTTGATTTACAAAATTCCAATTCCTAAAACTATGAGCATGTTTGGCTTAAAATATTTATTTATAAGTAAATAAGTAAATTTTCAAATGAATGATTTTTAAGAAAGTGACGTGAAGATATAACTTTTAGACGGAGAGTGAAAGCTATTCAACACTTTTTGCTTACTAAAAAATCTTAATTCTCATATTTTTGTCCTTTCTTCCACATACCATTTTTTTTTTCAAATGTGTTATGAAACTCGAAATATGTAAACATTTTCAACAAGTTATGTAAAGGTAATGAGAATTCTAGCTAATTAAGACACTCTAGGCTTCATTAGGGATGATAACGGGACAAGTATGAGACGGGTCGATCATTCGCATTCCCGTCTCATCAGGTATTTTTGCTACCTTACCCCGTCCCCATACCCTTTTAAAGCGTGGGCGGGCGGGTAGTGACGGACTCAGCACTCGGCAAGCGCCCACAACCAACCGCATGCTGGATCCATCGGGAACAATTATTTTTTTTGTTGACAATGAATAAACTTGTTAGGTTATATACCTTGTAATTTGCTATATTTTCTAACATTTCTTGTAACTCAACTGGTTTGAACTCCTATATTCATATAGGAAGTCTTGGTTCCGAATCTTTTTCCCATTACTTTTATTGTGAAAGATTTTTAATTCTTTAATTTTTACCAAAATCAAATGGGATAAGGAGGGGAGATTTCAAACCGTGACCTCTGCTTAGGATATTGAGAGTTGGACCATTGTGGCATCGTTGAATTTGATATTAAACTTACTAGAATAATATATGTTACATTTTAGCGGGTTTAATGCAATTCTAAAAATTTGAACACATGATCTTCCTTTGAATTATACAAGACTTAGTCACAATATCATTTGGTGAATATTATTAATTTTTACAACAAAATTATATATGTTGAGTTTGAATAGAATAATTATTATATTTAAATTTTAGACCTTGTTTGTTTCCTTTTTTTTTAAAAATACATTTTTCTTTTTTCTTTCAACCCACACATTTTTCAATAAAATAACATTCAAATTCAAAAAATTTCCTTATTTTTAACCACATATTCTCTATCAAATCACTATTCAAAAATTCACTTTTTACAAAAAAAAAGGGGGCATCAAACAGAACTCTTAATATTTTATTGCTGACAACGGTAGATGATTCACCCGCCGTACTGACTCAAAATCCTTGGTCCGTCACTGGGGGCGGGGAAAGTTCACTGCCCTATTTATCTCCCCATTTATTTTTTCTTTTTATTATTTATTTATTTTATTTTTTGCTTTTATTTTTTTATGTTTTTACTTAGTAAATATTATTACTTTTTTACCAATTTATTTTAAACAACTTATGTTATCTTTAAAAATATGATATATTTATTATTTTTGTTTGATAAAAAATTTAAATTTAAAATTAACTTTAAACTANACTTAGTAAATATTATTACTTTTTCACCAATTTGTTAGAAATAACGTATGTTCTCTTTAAAAATATGATAAATCTATTATTTTTGTTCAATAAAAAACTTAAATTTAAAATGAACTTTAAATGGAACAGGTAGCAAGATGGGAACTATGATTCTCGTACCCGCCCCATACCTACTTCAGGCCAATGACCCTCGCCTCGTTCCGCCTCATTTATAATATCACGGGTTTCAGGTTGAACTGATTTTTTTTGCCATCCCTAAACTTCATCATCAATCTAGATAATAAGTTCTATCGTAGAGATCAATCTTTTCATCTTCGCTTAAGGGAGATTTCAGTATATTGCACTCCAGTCAACTACAATATTCATTTTGCACGAAGAAATGACCATGTTAAGTAAAATTTTAGGCGGGAAACATATTTCAATTTGGCCTTAAAAAATAGACTAGTTAGAAAAAAATTCCATATCGTAAAAGTTATTTCCTTATACGCAAGTTCCAATTTTTAAGCTTACCAAGCCGTGCTTGGGATTTGATTTAATATGATTTTAGTTTGAAAACTCAATTTCATTTTCACTGAATTTCTTCCATTTGAGTTTTATGAATGAAATTAACATTGTTTGCTTTCATAACAATTTGATCAGGTGCTACACTTAGCAAGGGAATAAATCGAGGGATTGGAACTATAGTAGGTGGTGGATTAGGGTGTTTTGCTGCAATTATTGCAAATAGAAAGGGAGAGATGTTTGAAGCTATTCTTGTTGGCTCTTCTATTTTTATTTTTGGTATGATATATAAAATTCATCCTTCCTGCATTACATCCATTTCAACTTATGTTATATTTTATAT